AGGAACTTTCAGGGTTGATGTGTCTCTCTCAATTCCTGCCTCTTTTATGGGGCAACCCTTAACTTTGTAATTTCTAACTTAACTTCCTAGTCTCAGCCTTCTGTCTCTTGCTCTGGTGGTCACTATACACTCAGGTCTTTCATCCAGGAATATTCAGAGATCTGCCCTCAGCTCTCAATTTCTGCCTGGTATTTAATAAGTTCAGAGAATACAGATCCCATTTATGCCTGATACAGACACAGTGAGTAACAAAGCCACACATAAAAGCAGGCTCCTGAAGAAGTCCATCACTCTTTACCAAACTAGAATTGCTGAGGAGCTACTTAGTTGTAATTTGTACTACTCCATCAAGCATCAAGTTGCCCTAAAGCTGCACTGCCCAGTCCTCAGACCCTAACCAGAGGGATTTGTTTTTTTAAAGAAAAAGAAGTGTACTCTAGTGTGTCGCTTACAGGCTGAACCCCTGCCTGCTGTTAGCTCAAAAGATCTGGCAATCAAAATAGAGCACAATCATGTCATGACAACTTGTGATTTCCAGTAGCTAAAACAATCATTCAGAACCACAGGCAGCTATAAATCCATAATGTGAACTGGCAAAATGCAGGCCAGCCCAAGATAAAGAAAATGCAAAACAGTCTGAGGAATGTATTTGCAGCGTTTCAGTGCTACAAGTAAGCATTTTGATCCACATTTCTATATCTTATATGAATTCAGGATTGTGAAAGATCAGGTAATAGTTCCAGGTGGCCGTGTAGATTCCCAAAAAACACTCCAGGTACATTTCTGGTATTGGATCTATGTCCAGTTTTTTCCAGTGTGCTTAGGGAGGAGTTGTTCATCAGGTCTGTTCTCAGGCTAGAGCTAGGCTTCTACAGAGCCCTCTGTTGAAGTGCAACTAAGAGCCGTTGCTAGAACCTTTTCCTAGAACCACATCTATAGGTGTTCAATTGCCATTTCTAGAGCACTCATCTGAAGATGAATCTTGCCAACTATGAAGCCCTTTAGAACCCTTTCCCTGGTCTAAAGCCAGATCTTGAGGTCTTTTCTAGAGCTGGACTCAGCTTTGATTGTCCAGTCAATTTCTTGGAGCTCCAGCTACAAGTTCTGGAACATTTTCAATAGCCCATCCTGACGCTGTTTTTACGAAGGTCATTTTGAGGGTTTTACCTAAAAATTCCTTTAGAGAGGTGGATCTACAGCCCCTGCCTGGAGTGCATCACTAGAGCTAGAGCTACTAGAATTTACACATGCACTTGCTGAAACCAGAACCATTTCTAGTCTTTTCTAAAGCTGGCTCTGTAACCATTTCTGCAATAGATCTAGAAGCTGAGCTGAGCTTTTCAATTGAGAATTCACTTTGAGAATGATGTGAATAATCAGACTAGTGACTAATACAGAGTATGAGAAAGGGAGAATTTTGAAAAAGACAAGCTAACGAAAAAGCAGTTGTACAACCTTCAGCCTATGAATTCTCTCTGTTCTTGTTATTCAAGAGAGTATTTAGAAGATAAAAAAAACTCTATAGACAGTTTCCTTCCAAAAATTTAAATATTTACACATAATATTTCTCTTAATTTACATATCTACTATTAAAAATACGCACTGAGTTTTTATGAGTATCATCTTCAGTGGGTAAAAGCGACAAGGGTAACCAGAAAATACCTTCAGAAAGGGCTAGGTGTAAAATAAAATTTCTCCCAAACCATCATTCTCCTCCATTTCTACAGTATCTACGTGAAACATGCGGTACACAAGAGGCAGTACAGAAACACAAAGGGGCAGATGGTCACAGAGTAACACAGGGATGCAAAGAGAATTAATGAATGTTTCAAAACCGCAAACAGATCAGAGCAGCAGATTTAAATGTATTGAGCACAGCTGTATATTACAGGAACTAACACTTCCATACAGAAAAACTGTATTAGGCATTGAGATTCCACTTATAATATCTGTATGCAAAGCCATGCTTTTCAAGTCAGTTGCCATAACTTTTTGCATTCTTTGATTGGTTAAGTAAAATTTAACTTTGTAGTTTTATCATAGAACAAGTTTCGTGTTATGGTTTGAAGAACACAAAACATAAAAGCTAACTTAAATAACATAAAGAATGCAAGTGTTACACATTCAATGCCTGATTCAGAATTATATATATATATATACAGCTTTCCACTAATTAATACAAATACATCCACAAAATGTTCAGCATACCCATAAAATTTAGACAAGTAGGTGTAAATACATAATATATGGAAAATATTTATATGTTAAATATAAATGCATTCAGTGACCAAATAAAATCCGTGTAACTGTTCCACACTGGCCCTCATCAGTTTCAAACACGTTCTCCAGGACAATTTCTTCTCTTTTGTACCAATTATTACTTTGATATAATAGGTGTCTTTTATATCTTTCAGGGATACTCACTTCCCCCTTTCTCTTTCCCCACTCAATGTCAATTTTGGTGGTATTTATACATCACAGATCTCAATTTACTTGTATCATTTCCTTCAGCATGGAAATCACGAACAGCAGACAATCCATCAAGCACTCTGAATGCTCAACTGACACTGCAATTAGTGACACCATGGCAGAAAACAAGTTCAAGAATGAAAGAAATTATAAATCTGAGTACACATGCCATTTGCTGCTTCTGTTTGAGTTCATCCAAGTAAAAGCAAGTAGGTAAGGGCTCTAAGAGCCCATTAGAACCCCACGGATCAAGGAACACCTATAAACCAGGGGAAATTTATTTTCTGAAGAATGGAACCTTGCTAAGGGACACCTTTTCCCCTATTTTATTATAACAGTGGCTCTAGAACAACTTCATAATTCCAACAGACTTTCCTCACCAAAACCGTATCTTTGCAATGGAAGAAAATCTGCTGAAAGAGTACCAAACTGATGCCTTAAAGTTTATGTTAAAGGTATCTGAGTCGTTAAATGGAATTGCAGAGGGGTGCAATCAAAAATGCAGTAATTTATCTGACTTACTCAATTTTTAATACCTTTGAAAAACTGCCTTATTAAAATACAGAAACTATGCAGTGAAAAAAGTAGCTGTCTATCAAAATGGTGCAAACCTTATAAAATATTTTAAACATATTAAATCAAATAAAGAGCTTAGCTGTAAGGACCTCTCATTTTCCATGGATTCAGTGGAAGAAGTGAACGTGTGCATCAGCACATAAATCTGGCATTACTTTCTCCACAACTTGCTTTTAAAAAATTAAAAAATCTGAGACCAGTAGCAATTAATTTGAGTCATGCAAGGGAAAAGGAAAATACTAATTAACTGCTCTGACAGTACACTTTTGCGTGACAGGAAGAAAACCAACTGCTCCTTTTGACCTTCTTATGGGCCAGTGAAAGGAAATGTGAAAACCTAATCCACTAATGGCTTTAGTGGGAAGTCAGACAGCAATGTTAGGTAACACTACCAACAGGAGAAATAAATCATACAGCAACTACCCTCATTTTTTTGTCCTTTTCTTTCTTGCTTGTTTAGTGAGGCTGTGATGCAAGAGCTAAACCATTCATTTTGCAACATTTGACATGTTTGTCCCTGAATAAAACAAAGCCTATATGGTTGCATAAATCATCCTTTATAAATCAGGGTGGGCCATGGAAAGAAGAGATAAATTAGAAAATAAACTGATATGCTTTATATCTACCCTTTTGCTTTTAAACTCCCACTTTATGAGTTGATTCTGAAAGTAAGGTAAAACCATGCCTTCCCTAGTTTCTTGTGTGCAAGTAGTCTATCACAGACAATCAATCCGATTTTAAAAACCATATTGTAGAAACAGTGACTAGATAAAAATGCTCTTGAAACAAAGTCATCAGCAATTGGAAATGTTGTTTCTGATTGCCTGACTTCCGGGAATATAATACGGCATTACATAATTCCTTTCAAATCTGACGTATGACATGGCAAAGCAGTGAATATGATTGTGCATACAGTCAGGAGTCTGATGACACCTCACTTCCAAGGCTGCATTCAATGCAAGACCAATTTTTCTACTGGCTAACACAGCTGTCACAGCTGGCCTGAACGATACTTTTTGTTTGTTTGTAATTCATAGCTAATCCACACAATTATAATCGGGGTTGGCAGTTGGACTTGATCATCTTATAGGTCTTTGTCAAACTTCACGGTTTGAAGATTCCAATAATGCACACAGTTTTCAAATGCTAGCAGGATTTTTAAAAATACATTTACCTAATTTGGAGTTTCCCAAGCTCAACTGTGTTGCAAGACAGGAAATGGCAGAAGAAATAAAGATGTAACTTCAGAAAGGGGGCTTTGTCGGAAAGAAACCTTGCAAACTGTTGACATATAGTTTTAAAACCTATTATGCAGCTACAACAGATTCCACTTCAGCTCTTAGTCAGAGTCTGTAGTACACAGAACAATGAGGTGCTATAATGTCTCTCACTGACAAACATAATAAATTGATATTTGATTATTGATAAATATATTAGCTTGCTGGTGCAAGTTATTACAGTAGTACACAACAATACAACAAGCACTAAATATTTTGTGTAAGCCAGTCATACTCCAAGACAAATCTTGAAGCACCCCATTAAAAAAATTTTGCTACATAACTAGTAAATGCAAAGAGAACTCCAATCTATTTACAGCTTTTTTTCCTTTTTTTTTTTTTCTTTTTTTTTTTTGTAAAGCAACTTTCAGAAAGAAACACCACTATATCTATAGGAGAAAATATTTGTACAAGCACTACCCATACCCGTGCTGAAATATTACTGAATGTGGAGATCAGCACCTCACTTAATGAGTATTTTTGGCAAGCATGGTGAACGTGATGTCAGACAGATACAAGCATTAGGATCACACAGTTCAGTCCAAAGAGCAAACACTGGTAGAATGACATAAGAATCTCAAGTACATGCAAAAGAAGCCATTGCTGAGAAGCTTGAGTAAATGCAGAGGCCATCTTACAAGTAGCAGTAGCATACACAATGTTAACTCAACTGCTTACCCACTAAGTACACCAAGAACCAGGTTAAGTACGAAAAATGAGCCAAGGATGATAAGACTAACAAAATAGATCCATGGCCATTCACATCCTATTGCATCATTTACCTGTAAAACGTAAGGAAATAAGTTATGATTCAGTCATTCATTAAACAGCAGAGTCCTTTTTGCAGCTGCCAGATCACGTAGGTGTCAACACTGAAAGTTTTGTATTTATACAGTTCTTAAAACCCATTAATTTTTCTTTAATTTTATTACTCACCCAAATTATACCACAGATGTGATGCCTTAGAAGATGAATTAAAATATTTAATTAAGTGCAGGAAAATGTTCAGTTCTTTTTATACTTTTGCCATAAATATGGACACGAAGATATTTATACTAGAATGTCTAACTGATTTTAGTGTTTCTTATCTTTTATGAAGGCTACATAAAACTGCTTCTGTTCTAATTAGAAAAAAAAAGAAATACTTATTAAAAAAAAAAATCATGGCAACTCAAGTCTCACCTGTATGAAAACAACCTGTGTGTTCATGGCAACTGAATTCAGGACTCTGCCTTCATGATGAAAAAGGTGTATGCTTACCCGCTCAATACACCAAGAACAAGATTTAGTACGAAAAATGACCCAAAGATGACGAGACTGACAAAATACACCCATGGCAATTCAAATCCCATAGCATCATTCATCTGCAAGAAATAAGATGATCTTATAGAGTAGATCTCTATAGTAACAGGAACTAAGAGGCAGAGAAACAGAATTTAATCATTCAGGTGAGATAGCATTCTCTTCATTCTTTCAGTACTTTGAGAAGGGGAACAGTACAAGAAAGAAGGCACTGGCCATGTTTAATTAGCATTCCTAATATGAACTTGAAAAGAAAGTACTGAGAGAACCTAGTTTTCAGACTAAAAACACTACCAAACATACAAATTGAGTATTGCAACAGTTCTATTCTCTAACACCAAGAAAAGTACACCTTGGATTCCAAGTTAATTTATGCTTACTAGGACTGTTAGTTCACATATATCTCAGTAATATGAATGATCCTTTGAGAAAAGAAGTACTGAAATGTATTTCCACAGGACAAGTAATACATTTTTTTTTCTGCAAAATGACATTTCGATTTTTTTTTTTTTTTCCTGAAAAGCTACATCTGGATGCATTCAGATTTTTAAAAACATGAACAGAACTTTACACAAACAAAGAACTGAAATAAAATTTTATAAACATAACAAAAACAAGGAAATATCCCAGAAACACTTCAGAACCAAAATTACACCAAGATCAATGTTAAATGAAGTTTTAAAAGTGTTGTGGTTGCTGTTTTTTTTTGTTTTGTTGTGTTGTGTTGTTTTTTTTTTTTAAGTAAGGTTGAATTTCCTGAACTTCAGATGCACTATTTATTGATTACACAAGTTTTTCTATGAAGACCTTCTCCAGTGCCTAATTTTAGTGAGCTCATTGCATCTGTGAGGTAGACTCAAAAAACTTATCCATAGATCCATGGACATCTTAGAACACTTGTTCCAAAAAATAAATAAATAAATCACACGTAAAACACAGGAAAATTGAATGTTGCCTGTAATTTTCAGATGCAAAAAGACATTTCAATAAGTTACAAACATAAATTCTGATTTATACCTTTTTGGAAATATTTCTCACATCTTATTTTTGCGTTCGATTCTTCTTTTTAGCCATGAGATTCAGGAGACTATAAGAATTCTGTGAGTACGGTATTGTAGAACAATTTACAAGGAAACCCTCTTCCTTTCACGTGAATGCTGTCCTAAGTCTGTTTGTTGCATCTGAAATTTGTGATCAGGCTTTGAGCTCTATAAAAGCTCAGCTTTAAACCCTGTCATTAACATCCTTGCTGAAATTGGCACAGTTCCATATTACACAAAACCTTTTCAAATGGTATTTCTAATTTCATTCTTTCTATCTTTTAAAAATCAGTTTCAGTTTCTGCAAAGTGATGCAACGTACAGCTAAATGTAAGCACACACATTAAGTCTTTGCAGATTAAGGTCCGTAGGCACTTGTCTTCAATGGTGATCTGTCACAATGACACGTTACACTAACTAAATTGAGACTTCCAAAGTAACCAAAAGAAGATTCTTTTACTTAACTCCTTCATTTGTCCTCTAAAATAACTTCTGTGTAACATCTGCAGTTAAACTGTTCTAGAAATCAAGCTGAAATCCTGAAAAGCAACCTAGAATTACTTACTCGATAGCAAAATACTACTAATAATAATCATTTTAAAATTGTGAAGTACATATTTCATTTGGATATTTTCCTTTTAATTTCAATAAAATTAAGTTTTGGAGAAATTAAAATGGAGAAAAATTATAGCCAATCAGAAAGGCTGGAGCCATTGACTTCAATTCTAAAAGATCCCAGGTTTGCATGGTCCAATTCTGCAACATATTCACATGGAAAACAAGGTCTCTCATAATGCTGCCGTTATACTGACCTCCTTAAACTCAATCTCCTATGCAATACTTTTAGCAATACTTAATACATTAGGGATTTATGCTGAGGAGACTAACAGTTTCTTTTTATCTCCAAAGCTTTCAGAACTCTTAACAACAAAGAGAGCTCAGATCAGTAAAACGACTTATTGCCAATATTGGATTTCTGCTTTGTTCTACTGTGTGCTGCCTTTTGCACCTTCTTTCAATTGTAGGCATCTGACCTTTACTCAGGGATTTTTTTTTAAATGCATAGCTTGTAGTTATTCTAATTTCAGAACTGACTTTTCTTCATAGAAGTGATTCACAACACACAGATCAGGCAAAATGTTTTTCTAATAATAGCTTGTAAGAATCAACGTTTTGATTAAATTTCACATGCATATGAATGCATTTTGCATCCAATTTAACTATACCACTAGTAAACAGCGTTTTGCAAGTCCCAGAGCTCAGAGTAAGGGCAGAAATTCATCTGGAGTTGATGCCAACAATTTCCTGCTATAAATTGTTTTGAAAAACTTGAAAGATGAATAACTGCAATTTCAGTTTGAGAAAAACAAAAGATCCAAGGAGAACAAAAGAGCTCTGGGAATCACTGGAACCCAACCTGATACACTCTTCCTCCTCAGAAAGAGGATGTATCCAAGAAGCAAGGCATTATGCTAGTTTGGTAAGCCAGGAGCAAAGATGAATTTCCAAGCTCTGTTATAAAGGTACACACAACTGTGATTTGCTTCTCCTTAAATCACTTTAATGTGTGTAATATATGGAAAAAAAAAAAGCCCATCTTATTTATGCAGTTTGATGTATAAGCCCAATATTTTAGGATAATCTATCTAGGACTAATGCCCTGTGATATGACAGCTTGGAAACTGCAGCTAACCAGCATCAGAAGAAACGTTTTGGTTTGGGCAGATGATGAACTAATTTAAAGCATTCCTAACTCAAGAACCCTTAATCCACTAGAATACCTGGCACTAACTCTTAAAATCAACTACCTGAAAGTGCATCTATTCAATAATTTCACCACTTAATTCTAGAGACAAATGAAGTCTATTCAGGTAATGCATCGTAATTTGTATACATGAAGTAATATTTCTGATTGGATTAATACCAGAGATGAAAGCACGTAAATAAGTCCTGTCTATCTGGAAAACTTGCTCATTTCATGCACGTCTTGTGTCATTTTTCATATCTTCCATTTAAAGAAACATTAGAAGAGTCAATTTGTCTTGACTAATGATGGAGACAGAGCCTGGTTAACGCACAAAAAACCTCACAGACAAGGTTTTTCCAATTGAAAGGATTAATACTGACTTCTCACTCAAAAACTAGAAATAAGGAGTTACAGAGACACAAATTCCAGACTACTGGAAGTTGCAACTAAGAAACATAAGCAGTAAAAGCACCTCAAATAATGGTAAAATGACATCAGGAAATCCTGAAGCTATAAGGTCTCAAATCGTCAGCAAAAATCTTGTGGGACGCTCAGCCTCTGTGGCTCGGAGGCATGACACAACAGAGAACGTGCCATATCTCATGGCTGCCAGTGGACTTGCTCCATCTCTTTTTGAATCCATTAAGATTTCAGCATCCATAACACCTATTGCAAAGTCATTTGCCAAGTGACACTCTTCTTGCCCTTCTTTCTGCCTTTTTCCAACACTAGACTTAATGTTTTGATTTCAGTTCTAGTTTGTCCATCATGTCACCCAGAGGACAGAGAAGATAATAAATGTTAAGAAGGACAGAGTGTTCTTCTTTTTCACTTAATTTGGTTTCACTGTAATGGAAAATGCACTATTATTCCATTAGGTAAGTCTTTAAAAATACTCATTCTACAGAACACCACTGTTGGTATTTTCATCCTTTCATACAGACACTAGAACTAAAATCTGAAGCTGTTCCAACCCTTTTCATAAGTGACATAGGAGCAGCCTGAAGCCCCCATAATAGGATCCAGCTGTGGGCACTGTCAGATCTGGAGACAAATTACTCTGTGCAAGTCCAATTGGTAGAGTCAAAATTTTCTTTGTATATTTGACTCTATATCAACATGCATATGCCTGAAAACTCTTTAACCATTATCTTTAGTTGATGGGACAAAACTTGGTACAGACTGAAACTGCCCCATCTGGCATTTGGAGTGAATTGTTTTGTTAGCTGTGCTGTATTTGGAGTCAGCTATCATACCCTGCAGTGTAGCTGTTCAGGGATATCTCTGAAGTGAAATAGAGAGAGCAGGCCAAGTTTATAGCACAGATATAACCATCAGTGTTACACAGCAGTAGATAGCACATCCCAATCCAAAACATTAATTAGAAATTATTAAAATGTCTCACTTATCCTATCTGTGGTAACTGTAAAATCCCCATCTGCAACTGCATGCAGATCAAAGCCTTACTTTCCTGAAAAGCTGCCACTGGCTTATGTAAATCATTGCAAGTTCTTTGTATGTATTGATTAATCTAGCCCTAATTGGGGATCATGATAAAGCAGTGCAGTAACACCTCTAATTCTGCATTTGTCCTATTAGATACATACTCCACTGTTGCCTGAACCTATTTTGAATTATTTTTCACACAATGTTTCTAAATCATTTGGTCTCTTCACTTCCTTAGTTTTCAATC